TATTATTACTGCATTGCATCCAGATGTTTTTTTTTTTTTTGTTAATTATAACTAATTACTATTACATTTTATGAAATAATATTAATATACAATTATAATATATATTATTGTAATGATGGTCCACTGAACGGCAAGTTGTAGATGAATCAAAGTGCAGTTTATTTACACAAAGACAAAACATAATCCAAAAGACTTGATTACAGACATGAAACAACTCACCGAAGAGAGGTTAATACATTCAATACACGACAAAAGACAAGGACAACATGAGGAATACATATATATTATATATATATATATATATATATAAATAAGGGTCACATGTCATAAACCAACCAATGAGGAACAAGACACATGACTTGGACAACCAATCAGAACATGACAAATAGAACAAAGGAACCAATAGCAGGAATACATGACGACAAAGGAACCACAAGACTAGACAGGAACCATGACTAAACTCCAAAATAAAAGACATGAAAGCAATGAACAAGAAACACAAATAAAACCCAAACCCCACATTACATATCCCCCCTCTAAGGGCAGCTCCAGACGCCCAAACAAAATCCAAACCTAACAAGTCCAGGAGGGTGGTAGAGTGAAGGCAGAACAGGGGGAGGGATGGAGGGCCAGGCCCGTGAAGGGGAACAGGACCTGGATCCTGACATGGACCGTGGAACAATGGGAAAGACCATGAGTCATGGAGCAGTGGTGGACCTGGACCCTGGAGCAAGGGCAGGTCTAGACTTTGGAGCAGAGTTGGGCCTGGACCGTGAAGCACTGGAGGACCTGGGCCGTGGAGCAGTGGCAGACAGTGGAACAATGGAAGTCCTGGGCCATGGAACAAAGGTAGACTGTGGATCAATGGAGGTCCTGGGCCATGGAACAGAGGCAGACTGTGGATCAGTGGAGGACCAGGGCCATGGATCAGATCCAGAGGAGCATGGAGCAATGGCGGAGCCGGCACAGCAGAAATCCATGGCGGAGCAGGCAGAGCAGGGAGCAATGGCAGCGCCCGCAAAGCAGGAAGCCATGGGGGTGCTGGCAGAGCAGGAAGGCAGGGTGGTGCCGGCAGAGCAGGAATCCATGGTGGAGCAGAGACATGGATAGACCACTTGACTGTGACAGAGCAGGCAGAGAGTTCTTGAATGGCCTCCTTGGCCGTGACAGGACAGTCTGTGAGTTCATGAATGGCCTCCATGGCCGTGACAAGGCAGACAGTGAGTTCATGAGTGGGTGCCACCGCCTTGGGAGGTTCTGCAGCAGATGCTGCCACCTCTGGTGGTTCCGCAGCAGACGCCGCCACCTCGGGAGGTTCTGCAGTGGAAGCCACCCCCTCTGGAGGCACTGGAGTGGATTCGTGGAAAGAAGAGGCCTCTGGGGCAGACTCATGGACAGGAGAGGACTCTGGGACAGACTTGTGGACAGGACAGGCCTCAGGAGTGCAGTGTGCAGCCCACACATTAAAAATGGCGACTGCCATCAAGGGCAGCGCAATAGACAGTGGCATGCTCAGCGGGCTTGAGTGTGTTGAGGCTGTGAGGTTTGAAAGTGTAGAGACAACTGGGATGCCAGCCACTCGCACTGAGCAGTACAGACTAAAGACATGAAACAACTCACCGAACAGAGGTTTATACGTTCAATACACGACAAAAGACAAGGGCAACATGAGGGCTATATATATATCAAACAATAAGGGTCACATGACATAAACCAACCAATGAGGAGCAAGACACATTACTTGGACAACCAATCACACAATGCCAATGACACAATGAACAAAGGAACCAATAGCAGGAATACAAGAGGGCAAAGGAACCACATGACTAGACAGGAACCATGACTAAACTCCAAAATAAAAGACATGAAAGCAATGAACAAGAAACACAAATAAAACCCAAACCCCACATTACATATCCCCCCTCTAAGGGCAGCTCCAGACGCCCAAACAAAATCCAAACCTAACAAGTCCAGGAGGGTGGTAGAGTGAAGGCAGAACAGGGGGGGGGATGGAGG